GAGCCGCCAACGGCAACTGGTAGATGGCACAGCCGTCGCGATTGCGCGAGCCCCTACCAGGAATTCGTTGCGCCGCCCTTGGGGGCAAAAAACGGTGAAAGCTAACGTACGAAATCAGAGGGCAGCACACGGTGCGATCGCGCGACCCTGCCCGTGAGCAATCTCCCAACTCATCTCTGCTCCCAACTCATCTCTGTAGCATATGTAATGTACTGTTGTGTGCAGTGTCATCTGTGAAGCCTTCTTGGAACTTTCTCATCATCTACTGTCATCTTCAGAATTACCGATATATTCTGTTGATTCATTTGAAGTAAATGTCAGGAGCTGGGTGTATGCATTTATTTTCTTAAAGCAGATCATTGTATGTACAATTGAATAGTGTATGAAGGAGAATAATGGATAACGAAGAGGATAAAGCTTCTCAAAAACTCCAATCAACCGTTCGACTCGACAAGACACCTACAAATATGGACTATGATGATGATAGAGTAAGGTTAAAGTCGATGGGCTGTATTCCAAATTCTACCCCTTGTTGTATTTTAAATCAACAAAAAAGATTATTTATCCTTTTTATGAGAAATTATTGTAAAATAATATGTCTAATTGTAAAAATTGATATTATTTTGGAACAGAATCGTCCTTCGATAGATTACTAATATTTCGGAAGAAGCTTGGTAACTAAAAGGTGTTTAAACATTTTTAGTTGCATGAGATGACAGCATCATACTCGGAGATATCCTTCGATTCTCAGAGTTCTCCACCAAATTCGGAGCTTCGATCCCTCATTGAATCACCGGACTTAGAAGCTGGAAAGTATCTAATCAGTGACTTGGAGAAAGATGGTGCCAGTAGCAGACCTGATCGGCTTGAATTGAGAAGTGGCGGTACTAGTCCTGAGGAAGATGAGGATTTGGATCCTCCTAGTTATCACAAAGCTCTCGGTTATCTACAGTTAGAAGGAACAGTTATGCAAGATGGAGACATGGTTCTATTTGTAACCGAAGATTTAGAAAATAAAATAAAATTATCTAGTCCAGTCACAAAGAAGGGAGATACTCCATCCTTTCCAGGCTCTCGAAGCTCGACTCCTTGCTTATACAGGCAAGCTCTAACACCACAGTTACCGTTACTTGACCATAATGTATTAAATGAATTAGAAATGGAAGCAAGGAAAGTTGCTACCTCCGTGGACTCTTTAACAGAGAATCTTGCTGCCATCTTGCACAGTGTAAGCAATTTTTCTGTTTAAAATGATTGATTTAACTTTTCTAAAGTACGTTACTTGTTTATTATTCAGGATTGGCATTGTTTATTTTATTGTAGAGAAATGTATTTTTTTCATTGCAAAGAAATTTATAGTATTCTATTTAGTGATTACAAAACAGTTTTATTTTCTTATGTTTTGGTTTTCGTAGATAAATTCGTTCTTGAAATATATACAATAAGTAGTACCTGAATAGTAATCAAGGATAAACGAAAACAAAAGTTAACATTAGAGTTTAATGAGTCTTGAAGTGTTGTTTGAGACAAGTTACTCTTGCAGTATGTATTCGTATTAGATTTGAATTGTTTAGGGTAAAAATTTATCAACTTAGGTATTTATTTCTTTCAGGCTTCAGCTCTCACAGTTGGCTGTTTAGAAACTTATAGAGATGCGGTGTGCAAAACATGTGATACAGTAGATCATAACATCAAGTCCATGTACCAACTAATGGCAAAATGCGAGGAGCTGTCAAAGTCCATGGGTCCTGTTTACAAGCTTGCAGAACAGATGTAAGTATCTTAAGTATTTCTTCCCTTTTTGAGAGTTAAGCGATAAGTTTGATAAAGAAACAATTTTTTCACTACACGTGATACCGCTTATTACTGTAGTTAGTCTCAAATGCAGACATAAGTATTATCACTTAGCGCAACAAAGTACACATTGAGAAATGCATTCAAACCCCGTGTTACCCATCACTGTCTTATCTGTTTATACTTTCTCATTCCTGATTGATTCTTTTAATTGATCTATTTTTAAATACTCTTGCACTCCTTTCAGTCATGGTGGGTTTTAATTAAGCAATTATAACCCGCGATTATAACACTCTTTATAGATAAGGAAATATGAGCAACACTATTTTTCATTCGTTATCAAATCATATATTATTAAAAAATGGATGACGCAATTGTTTCCATAATCTAAATGTTGAATGGTGTTTCAATTATGATTCTAGTATCCTATCGTTACGTGGGTATCAGTGAGTGTTTACATTTGTTGCTTTTAATACCATTCAGCATCTAAATATACTCAATGAACGAGGAACAAGAGTATATCGTAATTACAATATGTAAAACATGATTAAAGGTGCACCCTTTGATTCAATCCTTAAAATTGAAAGTTATCTTTTTGCAGAAATGTCCCTAGGGTGGAAGGATTACCAGTGCTCGCACCCGGGGTCGAAAGAACTTAGGAAAAGCACAGCTTATCTCGATAGGGTTTACTCTGCTCCACAGCTTAGCTTTCAAAAGTACCCTATATCTCGCTGTTTGTCTTAATCCAGCGCCGCTTGCGAGTTAATTAGAAGACAGTCGCTATTTCGAAGGGCCGGTGGTCTTTTTCCGCGCTCGTCTCTGTATAACTTGGTAACTTTATTACCTGCACCTCGGGAGGGAAAGTGGACTTGGAAAAAAGGGGAAATGTACTTTAAAAGTTCGTCACGCGTTACCGAGCTCGCAATCGTTTACGGTGGCTTGGGTCCGGGGACCAGCTGGTGCTAATTCCGGTCTTAAAATTGCATTCTCTGCCTTCCAATCCCACGGCCGAAAGTTCTTCCCGGAATCGTTTCTTCATCTCGATCTTGATCTTTACCCTGGCCGGTAAAAGAGTTAATTGCGTGCCATCCGGGGATTACTCTTGGTCTTCCGCACGCCCTGGGGAATGACGATCCTAAAGTCCCCTCGACTCTTCCAGCGATTGTGGAAAATCAACATTTTAGTTAATTTCGTTGAAGGGTCCCATGAATATTATAGTAGGTCAAACAGGCTCCTTACTCCGTATGCATGGCGCGTATAAACGTTAGCGGACCACTTACTTTACAGCAAAGAGATGAAGAGGATGCTCGAGCTGTTTGAGAGCGCAATGAATCTGTGAGCGCCTACCGGGAAGGAGAGGCACCGGAAGCTCTTCGGGTACCGAGACATCGTCTCGTGTTCTTTTCGCTACCTGTATCTGGAAATGCTTCGAGAAACTGTTTAAGACTGCTATGCAGTGAATCGTTACCATGCGGATCGGTTTACAAATGTTCTTGTTCATCGGGAAATCTTTATCCGACATTATAGGTATTTATAAGTGTTATCTGATTATTTGTAATCGTTGAGATCAACATCGTATCGTCGCGATGGTGCTATTTCCCAAATTTGATCGACATAGGATATCGTTATAAATAATATTAATCAATATTCAGGAAGAAGTGATAGTCTCACCTGAATAACATATTGATATTTTACTTCCGTTTTTTATTTTAATGTTATGCATGCCATTATCATTATTTGAAAAAGTTTTTTTATATAATACATTATTCTCTTGAGTTATGTATGATTATACAAAATGCATTTCTTCAAAATAAAACCACGTCTCTATGCTGTCTTGTCAAGTTACCAGATTTTGCACATATTTATTCAACGCAGATTTGTACGAAATTTAAATTCCACGTGAAATTGATATAATTGCCTCTTTTCACGTGGGGCCCTATTTTTTACGCGCTCGACGAGGCGTTCGCTCGATTTGTAGGCTTAAAAGGAAGCTGCGTTTACGTCGCCTCCTGCAATTTCCGCCAAATTACAACGCAAGTCGTTTTGACGGCGCGTTCGGTTATTTCCATCAAATTGCAGTACCCTTTTTCTTTTTTTTTTTCAATTCACAACGCGTGGACATTTTTCACACATACGTGTATTTCGTGCGATTTTCCCTCACGAGTCTTATTGGCATTGTTCTAGATAACACTGCAGATACTTGTAGAGAGAGGAAGATAAATAAGCACCTTAACCCTTATTCTTAGTACCTTCGACCCACACAGTTAAATTTTAAGTTAGTTTTTCGTACAGAGGACATTTTTCATTTCGACCACTTTTGCGACCTCTTCCTTAAAGTGTTTCTTTACGTGTATAGTAGCCCCTTTCCTTACATCGTTGATCGTAATAGTTGTACTGGTGTATCTTGGTTAGAAAGTGTAAATAAAATCGATCGACTAATATGGAAATCAACGCGAGTATTCTGTCTCCGACGAATTCCTCTTCGGTCCGTATCCGCGCAAGCTGCCTCGCTCTCTTCCATCCGAGCTTTGGTGAAAAGCTATAGGTTCTCATGAAAGAACCTCCGTTCCGAAATCGTCCCGATTTTCGCTACGCACCGCTCAAGGGTCGCGCATAAAGCCCGAACTTCGTCAATCCTTCTCCCGTCCATTAACGAGCGCGGCTCGTTTATCCTTCCTCGTTATTTTTCCTGGCTTTCGATTCCCCGACCGCCATAGGAGTACTAAAGCGTCTAAAAGGCGCGAAACTTTCGGCTCGAAAAGCCTCGAGGAAATACAAGTACATCACTGGCGCGCCTTCGCGCGAGATGTACGCCGCGCTTTTCCGTGTGTGGGTGCGTGGCGCTTTTCCATGTGTGGGTGCGTGGCGCGCGTATGATTCACGGGCGGCAGCGTATGTATGCGGCCAATGGAGGAGACAACGAGCGACGGACGGGACAATTGTCAAAAATTGGATAATGAAACCGACTCGTGCGTGACCGAGCGTTTCGTACGTGTGCGGCCTGTCGAATCGCGCCCGAATGCTCCGTTATTTATCCGCTCGTCGCACGTACAGCGGCGGCAAAAATGTCGACCCGACTCGCCGATAAAGACAGGGTCTACCTTGTCATCGTGGAGTCGTTGGGCGTACGTACCACTGACCCGTTGAAAACCACCATTACGTTTCTACATTGCCGTACGGAAGAAAACAAATGTTACATTTAACGGAAATTTTCATGGATATTGTATAATTAAGATTCGAGAAAACTAGTCGAATGCGACTTTCTTCGTTTAGACTAAATTTACCTGTTCAAGGCGAGTCTATCCGTACTTCGATTTTCCTTTTGGGTTAAGTGTGGATGGTGTGTGTACCCATTTGTTTGTGTACTTCGTCCCGGATCTGTCTGTGTGGACTCGTCTGTAAGGCTATCAGGCAGACCCTGCCTTAGACACCGAAAAATCTCTCCTGAGCAAGATTTTTAAACAATCTGAGAGACTACGCGGTACGAGCGGTGAGCGTAACCGCTGGGGCTATCGAAGGTCTGTGATGAAGTAAGAACTTCTGATATATATATATGCTATGGCCGCCACATCCTATTCGGAAGGAAAAGGACATTTGTCTGGTGCCGTGGTCGAAGTCCGAGCTAAGGGGATGCGTTGGTTCACTAGATCGAGATGAAATAATCGGAATTTTTGGGGGTACCCTTTAATGTCGATCCTTGTTAGCGCTGTTTGTGTTTGTTGCTTTCGTACTGGCAGAATGTCGGGAGATATTGCAGAGGTGGGGGTTGAATTTGAGCGCGGAGGCGAAACTTAGCTAATCTTTAGGTGTGATCGATGATTGCTCCGTAGGGGGTGGCGAGGCAAGAGTCAGGAATCGGGAAAGGATCCAGGACCTAAAGTGCTGGGGATGTGCCCGGTAACCGAAGACCAGTCTCGGCTAACGTGGGGATGCTTGGCTATCATGTTTCAGGATATGCATTAGGAACACTAAGCCCTCCCGGCCACCCATTTCCGCCATTAGACGCCAGACGCCAGAATCGAACGTGACGTCTAGGCCGGAAAATGCAGAACTTGATGGCTAAAAGGATACACGAAGGATCCCTTAAATGTGGGCTCAATTTTTTCTTGCACTTGGCTTTTGGTCTTAACAAGTCGGTGATCGATACAGCCTGCAGCTGAGAGCAATACCTGATGTAAGTTTGGTACCACGTAAAGAAACGTGCACGGTGCTCGGCAGAAGTGCATCGGGCCTGAGATGCATTTGAATCGAAGGATGCACCGGGCTCTACGTGCTCGATCGAGGCTACTACTAACCTCGTATTACGGGAAAGAAATGACGATGTCGAACAAATACCTCGTTAATTTATTCTCTTGGTGTACGAGTGTATTCAATGAGTCGGTTGCAACACGTACGCGCAACGATTGTACAGACGTTTTCAATAATGGTTTCGCTCGGAACTTTCGGGATATCGAGGACATGCCAATATTGCGCATAAATGATAAATTGTTATCCGTTCAGTGCACGGTCGAAAAGGGCTTTTGCGGATTTCCCGTAACGGCGACATTCGCAGATAAATATTCACTGCGTATCGTTCAAGTACGAAGGATTAATAAAACGCGTTAAAACTGATTATTTGTATCGAACTCGGCACAGCTTTTCAAAATCTAGCGCGATTACATGTGTTACATCGAAATGAATCGCTAAGTATAGGAACAGGTGTAAAAATAAGGATAAAGGAAAAAATGTAGTTTGAAACTTTTGGAAATTCTCGAGCGAAATTCCAAAGTATCTGCAGATAGAAATAGGTAACAATGACTTGCGACGATTTGAAATTGGAAGGAACGTGTAATTGTTACCGTTAATATAAAGCCTATAAACTCTAATTACACATGCGTCTCCGACAATGTTGAGAATCGCGCAGCGGTTAAACCGTATGCATTTTCAGCTTACTGGGAGGTCGTACCACGGTGAAATCATTATTTGAAACCTCTGTACGCGTGCACATATGTAAGATCGTGCGTACGCACAAAGCGTGTACACGTGCTCATGCAAGTAGAAATTTGAACATACGAGGTATAAATGCTCGGCTGGGTTGCTCACCGGAACGGGACCGCGCGTTTGCTTTGCCGGGTTTTATTCCCGCATTATACTCAGGGCATTGAAAATAATTTCAATGTTACCGTCGCAGACAGTGGCCATTGACGTATTGTTGACGAGGACACGCTAAACCTGCGGATGATATTGGAGTAATGTTTATTATTGTTCGTCGCGTCGGGACTAGCATTTCACGGACTCTGTGTGCTCATCCGTTTGTGCTCGACAGCGGAATGCATTTAGCATGCAGCCTCGATACAGTGCTTACGTGGTATTTACATGAAGGGTGTCAATGGAATACGATACCGGACACGTGGCCCTTAAGGGTGCACTTCGGTGTCCGGTTACGATGATTGAAGCAGTCGGAGAATTCAGCTAATTCGGTACCGATGAAATCAGAACAGTCCACCATTGTTCGGGCGAGGCAATTTCTTGTTAAATGTCTGTCTCCATAAGGAAAATACCGGGATGCAGTTTAAAATAATGATCAAAAGTTGATTAATACAAACGTCTGTACGATATCACCAGCAAAATTATATTTTATGATCTATGTAACGTAATGGCACCCTTCCACCGCAGGTACGTCCTTTTAATTACTAATGTTATGTGACCGATACTGCTTCATGTGTAGAAAATTAAATTTTTCCGATATTGATTTCCAGATAATCTCTCCTGAGACCGACAGACCCGGTAATTCATTCTTCAGTCTTCCACATCCGCTGTCCATGAAGCCATGACGCCATATTGGAAACAGCGTTTGATACGCAAAAACGGAGAAACAATCACTTTTTCCAGGTAATGCAGCCTTATCGCTTGTTTGATTTCTGCGGTAAAAGAACCTTTGTAAGCACGCCGCAGCTTCAGCTAGTTTCCACCGCAGCAAACCTCATAAACGAACGTTTACTTTGCGACCAAGAGTCGACCACAATGCGTCCCTTCTGACGCGTATTGTGTGACGCAATGTTTCGAGCACGTGCGGTTATACAATCGGCAAGTGCATTCTTATCAGAACCTGTTTTATCGGATGGCCATAAAGCTCGGCGGGTGTCGGGGTGTTGGTACGGAGGAGCTGATTCAATGAGGTCGCTGGACTCGAAGAGATAGAACCTTCGACCGCGTCGCTCCTCGGTGGCGCAGGCTGTGCGAAGAAGAAGAGGTGACGCGAGGCTAGGTTCGGCCAGGCCGCGGGTGAGGTTAGGTTGGGTTTGCCGAGTAAACTGGCCGAGCGAGCGAAACGCTCGTGGTCCGAAGTGACCAGAAGCGGGGTCCGTTTCTAAAGGAAGCAAAGAAGTGCCCCGTGCGCGTAATGACTAAATAAAAGATGGACCGCCAGATAGCCGCCCTATTTGTCAGCCTGTTTGCCCTGGTCGCGACGTCGCGTGTACGTCCGCTCAGATGCCTACCTTAGAGACACTCGACCCTCTTCAGCGACGCGAAATCGACGGTGATGAATTTAGATATATACCCTGGACTTTTTCTCGAGTTTACCCCCTACGTGCACTTTACGTGGTAGTGGGAAACAAAGGACCGCGTCATAACGTTGAAGACTGTAAAGGGGTGGGTTCTGCGGGGAGGATATATCGTAGCCCGTTTTTTAAGGACTAGGGTACATGCCGTAATAAGTTTTTTCGACAATAACAAATCGTTTGAGTTAAACTATTCCAAAATAGCTAATTTGATGTCCTAGGAAGACGTTAACACACGTTTCGAAAGCCGGTTCGAGACTCGTTCCTTTCGTTTTCTATCTTAAACCACGGTCGACGTCCATGGCTGATGTCCAGTGATTAGATTGGGTTAATTCGAGGAGTCTTCGTATCGGTTCCAAGCGCTTGGCCATAAAATAGTCGCCATTCGATATGTGGTATGATTTACGACAGATAAACTCTTAGAGCTGACATTAAGTTTTGGCCAACTTTGTATTAGGGTATCTCAGAACGATATCGTGCTCCGAATTGACAATGAGCCGAGGTTTGCCTTTCCTCGATGATTACCTCTACCACGATGCGATTATATGTTGTATTGGTGTTTGTGAAAATATGCTCATATTAGATTCCAACTTTTTTTCTTTGCCAATATTTATTACGTATTCGGGCACTTCTATAATGAGCGGGACATTTATCCCCATTTTGACTTAAACCGTTTTACCCTCTAATAGGATACGCCTTGTAATCTCCGCTGTATATCATGTATTGCTTACGATAGTAGCCTCTGATAGTCTTATCGTTGGCACTGGGTTTTGGCAAACTTTGAGGTCAGGGGACGCCGGATTGGTATCGTGCCC